AGTGCGACTATTTTCCCAGGATTGTTATTCATTAAAAAATTGTCATCTTCGAAAAGAACTTAAAATAGCGTTTCCACATCATCCTTACCTCTAGCAAAACTATCTTAGACAAGGTTCGTTCGGGTCGTTCCGCTGCCGTGTATCCTAAAAGTGAGCGATTGAAACGAAAATTTATAAGGAATTTTAACAATTTTATTTTTAAATAACTTCTAAGATTTATATTTGCAATAATTCACCTGAGCTCCAGGTATCTTCTTTAAAAATCATACACTAATTTGAGAGCCACTACTTGCTCTCCTGAACACATTTTCTGATTTTAGCCAATTCCAATCAGACCGAGCAAGTCTCACCGATTTGCCATCGCATTCAGCCAATTTGACAATTGCATATGGCACAACAAATGAGGGAAGAACTAATGAATGGATGTAGAAACAAATCGTCGCAACCATTTACTACTTTCTACAATGATTGCACACAATACAGCGTTTTTATATTTACTTTATGTGCATTTTGTTAACAAAGCGCTTTAGGCCGTAGAAAAGCGTAATGTATGAAAAGAACAGGTGGGTGTCATTGTTGAACAGCGTTGAATTTGGTGCAGGTGTATTTTACACACCAGTAAACACCACAAACGGAAGCCAATTTGCGGTCACACCCTGACGAACAGCAAGTTCAGCAACGCTCTTTTCCAATTAGAATTTTTTCATGTGTGAGAATCGCACTCAGCATACAAAGAACACAAAAATTGGTTTTATATAGGTAACTTTAAAAACTCGTAAGGATTCACCAGTGCCTGGACAAGGGTTTTTTTTCTATAAATGTAACGTTTGCTCAGCCAGTGTATGGCCAGCTTTTTCGTCTATTCCTTGTACAGAATTCACTTATCACAGTAACAACAAAACGCCTGCTCGGGTGCTCACTCGGCGCTACGCTTTTGCGACGGGAGCTGTATTGGCATTTTGCTTTTTTCACCTCTTTGCCATTAGTGGGCAGACATACTTTATTCTTATTTTACACAAATTTCGAGACACAATTTTGCACCATTTATTTATACACACATTCTTAGATATTTTGCTTACATAGTAATGCAATTTTTTCGTTGATTATTTATAAAATAACCACCAAAAACCTACCGTCAGGAAAAGTAATGCTGCCTTGTCGTTGTGCATAAAAAACTCTTCCAATTAGGTCGGTGTTATGCAGACAAACTTTTGTTTGCCAAATTAAATTTCGGCTGCTTAGTTTGCTCGGAGGTGGTTATGTCGAGTTTGGCACAGGGTTGCACGTTCATTATGGTTTTCATGGCTATTGCCAACACGAAATGAGAATTTCAGATGTACATAACGCGCAAAATTTAAAATTTTTGTATATGACAACACCGAATTTGCTGCAGTTTGACCAAACAAAATTAGTTTGCTGTGAGAGTCGCCAAACTCGCTCTCTCCGAGTTTGCTGCAACAACAATTGCACGCAGTTTGCCAAACAAAATTTCTGCATAACACCGACCTTAGACTCATCTGACATTTCAAAGAGAGCGAATGTGTCATACGCATATTTCGTGCGCAGGGTTGCATGCCATTAAAGGAAAGTACTTTTATTTTTAACCAGATATTAGTTTCAAAGAACGTAGAACGTTGGTAGCAACTTTCACCTAAAATGCTACGGAAAGTGAGTACCGCTATTAATTTGTTCCAATTAATTAATTAATAATTATAAAATAATGTTAAACATGTATTTTAATTTCTTCAAAAGATTGAAACATTGGACGTTTTTTTTACTTTTGTTTTGTTTATTTCATTAGGGCTAAAAAGCAACCATGCGTGCAGGAAATTATATGGCACTTAAAATTACACCTCTGAAAAGCCTGTCTCCATAAACGACTTTCACCACAGTTTTTTTGATATACCGATAACAATTTTAATTTTTGGCTGAGAAAAATCTTTGTTGTGTGGTTTTTTCTGTTTTTCTCTGAAATTTATTTTGAACAGAAAAAAATTTAACAATTCCTTGAAATAAACACATCAGCTTGCCGTATATCGATAGGAGAAGACAAATATTGGACATGGGCAGAACTAAGAGTGAACTAAATAACCAAATTCGAAGCCTGTTTGAATACAGCATGGAGGAAAACATCTCGCTGTGCAAGATTTGCAAGACCAAGCTCGCAGGCCAACATTCTACAAACTTAAGACGCCATATAGAAACCAAGCATAAAAGCTTTTTGAATCACTTAACGCCAAGTGTAGAGAAAAATGAACCGCCAAAGAAGAAAATTAGAATTTCATATGAAATAGATGCAGAATCATTCGAAAGTTCCTTGGTGAAAATAATAACAAAAGATGGGCAGCCATTATCACAATTAGATAGTGAAGGATTCCGAGAGATAGTGAATCCTATATTTAAGGCGCTTAATATGAATTCAATCAACTCCCATAACGTAATGGAATTGGTCAATAAACGTGTGGTAGAAATGAAAAAATTTATTAAAAAAGTCGTCGAGAAAAAATTAGTATCAATTAAAATAGATACCGCTACTCGTTTCGATAGATCAATTCTGGGTATCAATCTGCAATACTTAGAATTTAAAAATTCGAAATTAGAAATAGTTGTTAAAACTCTTGGGATGAAGACATTTCCATATCCATACACTGGAGAGCAAATTCAAGATACTGTTTTGGATACCCTTGCAGAATATGATATTCGGCTGGAACAAATTTATTGGTATTTATGTATCTATAAAATAAAACTAAGACCACTTAATTTTGCTTTTTCTTAACTATTTTTTAACTCATAGTGTGACATCTGATAACGGACGAAATATGTTGAAAGCAGTAGAAATTGTGAATCAAGATTTTTATGAAATATTTGATTGCGTAGATGAGCTGCCAGAAATACTTTTTACAAGCTCTCTTCATTCCATGCGGTGTGCAGTCTATTCACTTCAACTATGTGCAACCGATATTCACAAAGATAAGGGCATTCAAAACAATATAGAAGACATTCGCAAAGTTTGTGAACTTTTACGTAATGAGAAATATAGGTAAGTAAAATTTAGTATCTAAAAAAACGTTTACAAAAATGTATCTAAGTTCTAACAGAAATTTGTTGACTGAATGCAATAGAGCTGTCCCACCAATTGACATTGCTATAAGGTGGAATTCTACTTATGTTATGGTAAAACAACTATTAGAACTAAGGGATTTTGTAGAAGAAGAAAAAATTATAGTTAATTGGGACTGGATCCAAGAATACGTATCAGCTTTGGAACCAATTTGGGCTGCAACAATGAAGCTCCAAGAGGAACAACTTCCTCTGTGTGATCTTTTTAAAATATGGATGGAGCTTAAACTAAATTTTAGAGAAAGTCGTAACGGTGGCATCAAGCAAATTATCTATAATTCTCTGTTAAATCGAGAAAGTTTGTTGCTTAGCAATGTCTTATTGCTAAGCGCCGTTTATTTGGACCCTCGGCTAAACGTATTGTTAACGGAATCGCAAAAATCTTCGGCAAAGGCTAATTTAAAATCAACAGCTAGACAAATTTTCAACCTCAAACAGGTAACGCATGGTTTGACTTTACATATTTATTTTAAAGCGTTATTACTTCTTTAGAGTAAACCCATGCCCACAACTCAAGTGTTTACTGAAGAAGTAAGCCAGCATTGTTCTTTTATTAAGAGAGAGCCCTCCAGCGATCACGAAAGCTCATTACTCAGTGCTTATTTGGATCAAATAGCACAAGAAACAGCGGCAACAGCAACTGAAGATGACGTGTCAGATTTGACTAAAGTTTTTGTGGAAATAGACAATTTTGAAAATCTTCACAGGCGCTTACAGTTGAATGAAGACATATTTTCTTTTTATCAAAACATCCGTTTCATATCTCCCGAACTTTTTGAGTTAGCTCTTGTTGTACTTGGTGCACCTGCAACGCAAGCATCTGTCGAAAGAGCATTTTCTTCTTTAAATTTCGTTTTAAGTGAAAGTAGGAATAATTTAAATAATACAACTGTTGAAGACTTACTACTTGTAAGGCTAAATACGTAATGATTTAAAAAATACAACTTAATGAAAATCTTCCCAAGAAATGTTTTTTTTTTTTATTGTTCCATGGTGAAACTATAAATAGCTGAAGTAATAAAACGTTTTCTGGCTTTATTCTCTTGAAATTCGGCTATCTTAAAGGCAAATTTTTAAATAAGATAGCGTCAAATCATTCTCCTCGCTCTACTACTACACCTAGTATAATTTCACCATGATATTGTTCAACAAATATGATTTACACTTGTACACACATATATACATGCATATGTATGTTGAAAAATAATTACATGAAAAAGAAAATTTTGGAAAAAATTTCGCTTACGTTATTTTGGCGGTTAGGGCTCGATATCTAGAGAGAAGTAGAATTCTCCTTTCTGTTTTGCCGGAGAAAGAAAAAACAAAATTGTGTCTTTAGCAACGTGTGTATGTGATCATCATTATTTTCAGCACACCCATTCCGACGTAATAAGCAAAATCGGCCGTAAAGGAAAGCCAATCCCCCCATTTTACTTTATTTAATTTTAGTTATTTTTAATTACAACGCTTTTTTATTACCTTAGCTCGGGATGTAACTATGTAATCTTGATGCGCCTAAAAGATGCAGCGATTTCTGTTCTCAAGTTACATACGTGATGACAGTACGAATGGCAATTATAATAGGGAGGTTTTAGTTTTTTAAAGTATAAGTTTATTTATTTTTGTTATATTTGTTAAGAATTTGGGCCCTATTATGTATGGCGACGGAGGTTAGTTGCTGGTTTAGTAGCCATGGCTACCAGTATCGTAATTTGTATTATAAATAGCGATTAGTCTCAGTATACAGAAAAGCGTACAAAACATCCGAATTACCGAATTAAAATTCTTTTCAGTTTGACAGTTTGACGACCATTGCAGTATCTCATAATCGCCGTTTTCCGGTAGGTGTCGCTCATTATTCCACATTGGTCGTTGTCAAAATCAGCTGTCGAATGTTATCACAGCTGCTGAATGTTATTCAATTCTCACGCATTAATTTTGGAAAAATATACTTACTGGTTCCCGCATAAAGTAAAGAAAATAAACCATTCTTAGCAAAATGCTGCGACAATGCGTTCCCAAGTCGCCAGTGCGCGTGGTAAGTCAATTAAATTAAATATATGAATATATTGCAATCTAATAACCTTTCGATTTTATCACATGCAGCACACTAGCGCTTGTGGTGCATTACGAAGTGCGGCGACGAACGCCACGGCCCCAGCATCCAAAGACAAGATTGAAGAAATACGTGAGCGTTTAACCAAAGGACCAAATTTCCAAGATTTCGTACAAAATCCGGAATATACACGTGAGGAGTGGACTGATTATGAGGGCAAATTGCGGCGAGAGAAAGGAGAAAATGAACGACTACGCCTGCCACCTTGGCTAAAGACCACCATACCCATGGGCAAAAACTTTGCAAAAATTAAAACACAGTTGCGTGAATTGAAATTGGCCACGGTGTGCGAGGAGGCACGCTGTCCCAATATAGGCGAATGTTGGGGAGGTGGTGAACATGGCACCCAGACAGCCACTATTATGGTAAGGAAGAGTGTGAGGTATATTCAGGCAGGCTCTGCAATTCATTTCCGAGTGAATTTCAAAACCCATTCAATTTGGATTCAAAATCATTTTGTGTGAAATTCACTCGGAAGTGAATTGCAGAGCCTGCCTGATTAGCATATATGTATCTATTCTACGTTTATGTGATTTTTTGTGAACTTAGCTGATAACCTTTAACAGCTTTCATACGTTTTATTTTATTCACACGATTTGTTTACATGCCGCTTATCTTTTATTTTGTCACAGCTGATGGGCGACACTTGTACTCGTGGTTGTCGTTTCTGCTCTGTCAAAACTGCCCGAAAGCCACCAGCACTGGATCCCGCTGAGCCAGTAAACACAGCCAAGGCGATTGCCTCCTGGGGTTTAGATTACATTGTGCTGACTTCAGTAGATCGAGATGGTATTTTAACTAGCTATGAAGTATAAGTAAATACACTTTGCTAACTTTGAATGTTTTTGTTTCCAGATTTACCAGATGGTGGTTCAAATCACATCGCAGAAACTGTGCGTGAAATTAAAGAGCGGTAATGTCTATACTTTGTAATATTGATAAAATGCACCCACTACATTTCTTACATTGTCTTCGCAGAAATCCAAACATCTTCGTTGAGTGTCTGGTGCCTGATTTTCGTGGCGATACGAAGTGCGTCGAAACCATAGCCAATAGTGGACTAGATGTTTATGCGCACAATATAGAAACTGTTGAGAAGTTAACACCATTTGTGCGTGATCGACGCGCTCACTACCGCCAGACGTTGACTGTGTTGCGGGAAGCGAAGCAATTCAATCCTAAACTCGTTACAAAGAGCTCCATAATGCTGGGTTTGGGTGAGACAGACGCTGAGGTTGAACAAACTATGCTAGATTTGCGTGAAGCTGGTGTGGAGTGCCTCACCTTGGGTCAATATATGCAACCGACAAATAAGCATTTGAAAGTTATTGAATATGTGACACCTGAAAAATTCAAGCATTGGGAGAAGCGTGGAAATGAATTAGGTTTCTTGTACACCGCGAGCGGACCACTAGTACGTAGCTCATACAAGGCAGGCGAATTTTTCATTACAAGCATCTTGAAGAGTCGACAAGAACAAACAGAGAAGGTGGTCGAAGCTGAGGAAACGAAGGGAAATTAAATATAAATTGGAAAAAATATACCTACTGATAGTATATGGATAGGATGGGCGCATTTTAAAAGCCAGCAAGGAACGTTGCATGACCCTGAGGAACTAGTTGAGACGAGTTGGATAGAGTGGGAATTATTAGATTTGCATTATTAATAACGCTAACAAAATCTTTGTGCACTGTCTGTAGTAAGAAAATACCATATACATAAGGTTTGTATAGTAACTTCTACAGTAAAACATTGCAGCCAGAGCGTTAAAGCAAAATAGAGCGTAAAATTTACAAGAAGAGAGAACTAGCAGAAAAAGTTACTGAACGCAAAACTAGTAAAAACTTGCAAGTGAATAGTTGTTGCACCCTTTTGATATTCTGCTGTAAACATTTTACTTTTTATAAATCAGTTTTAAACTCTTTGCTTTTCACAGAAGCACTTACACAGTCTAGTACATCATTAATATTTTGATTTCCACTCATTTTACTTTTGTTTGTGCTAAACCAAATCAACAAATGGCGGCTTTTGACATTTATTCTTCTTCTTCTTCTGCTAGCTAATTTCTGCTAGTAAAAATTTCACTAGCAAGAATTTGTAGCTCTCCCGTGTTATTACGCTCTCAATTCAGGGCTCTCTTGCAAATTTTTTGGGTTATCATACACTTTTCCAGTAAAAATTTGCAGGTTCCAGTACAAATTAGTACTGACTATTGGTTACTATACAAACCTATACTTACATATTATCTTAGATTAAAACTTATAATTATTTAAAAGTGATATGTAGATTGGCATATGTATGTACACCTATTCGATAACATATAGTAAAATTTGTTACGCTTGTTTGAAAATCGTATAAAATTACTTGCATAAAATTAAATTCCATCTAGTTAACAAAACACAGGTGAAGCTAACAAAGCTGTTAATGGCTTTACTAGGCTTTGCAATTAAGTTGTGACTGTAATTTACTTATTGCAGCTATATTTACAACAGCTCTCCCTATCATTTGAAGCACAAGAAAATGTGCATTTACAGCTCCCGCCGTATAATCATATTAAAGACAAGCAAAGTGTATAACCAATGTTATAAAAGTACATTAACATGGGTATTTGCGGTCACCCATCCGCTAAAAACGTCGAGTAAATGCATTTAGGAAGTTCAAGTTCATGCAGCAACAACTATAAAAAAAACAATCGCAAAAGCTATTGACTACAAAATTCTATTTTCGCTCTTCTGAGAGAAGATGAGAAAGTTGATGGTTACTACGGAAGCTAACCATCTCGGTCCATCTCAACAAGTGGCCAACTTTACAATAACAATCAAGGCTACACAGCGGTGTGTCAACGTCAGCTAAAGTAAACAAAGTTTCAGTTTACAACGCCGCCCTCTTACACCGCCAACCACTTATGTGCGACCACTGTTGCACCTGATAATGGATTTTTCGCGCATGCGCCGCAAATAAAATCATTTAATCGCATTTTGCTTCGATAACAAATTTCACACTGACATTTAAGAGTCAATTGTCAGTTGTGAAAATCGCAACAGCGCTAGTGCGCATTGCTTGCAACGAGAAGTGTTAAATTGTCTTTTAATTGTGCAAAAAAATATACGATTAATAAATAAATTACAAAAATTGATTTGAAAGTGAAAATTTTATGCTCCTTTATCAAAAATCGGCAAACAAGTTCAAAAGAGCCTAAAGATATGCAACGTTTGCGTGGCATATGCTAAGTAGTGACGTCGCACTTTTGCATAACGCGTAGGCGTTGCGCGGCTTAGTGTAGAAAAACTAAATATAAATATAATTCCTTTAGTTTGTGCGAAGAAATTTAGTCGACATCGTTAAGCGCGTTCCAATCTGGTGCCTGTGCAGTTATTATGCCAAGTACGCGTCGCATTATACTCGGTCACGTCATGTCTGGCCTGTGCTCGAAGATGAATCGAACGAAGCCGGTGCCTGTTGATGTCATGGAGACTCCGCTGAAGCGGTGCCTCAACACCTTTGACATAACTTTGCTGGGTGGGTTGAGAAAACATACTTTCGAGTAAAGAGCAGAAAAGCGGAAGTAGATTTACAAAAATGCAATTTGAAATTTTTTAATTTCTTTGAGTTTGTATATATATTCTTCTCTGCTCCATTTTAATAAGTGTATTCCTTTTGACCCGCCTCGAAAGCCTAAAAACCGCTTTCTCAAGTAGCTTTTAAAATTTGTCTACCCTTTAAACACAAATTTTGTTCCCAGGTAAATTGAAAAACCAACGTGCAACCCTATTCCCATATTGTCATATTTACTGCGCCTAAAACACAATATAAACATTGTTTCGTCGTTATCGCGAACTCAGTAGGTCATAACAATAACAATGACAATTGTCACCATTAGCAGGCCTATTCTGCGTTGGTAACAAAAATTTTGTTACCGGTAAATTATTCTGCGCATTGGTAAATTTTGTTACCATATCATAAGCAGGTAACAAAATATTGCCCCGTGAAGTATGAAATACCAGAATTAATACAAAACTGCATAGCTGAATTGCTGAATAGATTAAGTTGTTACCAAAGTGCTTAGAATTGCGCATACAAGAAATGGTGTTATTTTTTGGTAAAAAAATGTGCCGGTGTTAAAACGTTCGGTAACAAGCAGAATAGGCCTGTAAAGCGCTTAAAATAAATTTGACAATAGTCAGCCGTTGAATTTTCTCATTGGCGTGGGAATAGGGCTGTTAAACTCGAGCTTTTTTCTTAAACTCAGAAATAAAGGCAACTCGAAACTCTTAAGGTAAATTTGGTACAAATTTAAAGATTTGAGTAAACTTTTTTAGACTTTCGTGATATTTCTGAGTTTTTTCGTCATCTCCGACTCGGTCAAACTTCTTTTATATCCTCTCTTCCCACTCCCCATATTATATTTCATACTTCAAATCATCTCTCACGAAATTCCACCTTCATCTTCTACTTTCAGGCATTGGCCACATGGTGGGCGCTGGCATTTATGTCCTCACCGGCACCGTGGCTAAGGACATGGCTGGACCCGGCATAATACTCTCCTTCATCTTGGCTAGTTTCGTCTCAATGCTGGCGGCACTCTGCTATGCGGAATTCGGCACACGCGTACCCAAAGCTGGCTCAGCTTACGTCTACACCTACATCTCGATTGGTGAGTTTTGGGCTTTCGTCATCGGTTGGAATATACTGCTGGAGCACATGTTGGGCGCCGCTTCAGTGGCACGTGCCTGGAGTGGATATGTGGACTCGATGCTTGGCGGTTGGATTGGTAATACCACGCTGGCCATAACCGGTGAGATGCATGAGCAACTATTCGCGCGCTATCCCGATGTGCTGGCCTTTTTGGT